CTTCTCGGATTATTTGCTCAGCATACAGCTTGAATAAGTATGGTGAAAGAATACAACCTTGTCGCACAACTCTCTTAATTTTAAACCATTCAGTGTTCCCATGTTTTATTCCAACAACTGCCTCTTGATCTGTGTACAGATTTCTCATGAGCACAATTACATGTTCCGGAATACTCATACTTTGCAATGTTGTCCATAGTTTGTCATGATCCACACAGTCAGTAAAGCACAGGTAAACATCTTTCTGGTATTCTCTGCTTTCAGCCAAGATCCATCGGACATCAGCAATGATATCCTCGATCCACGTCCTCTTCTGAATCCAGCTGGAACCTCTCAAAATTCTCTGCCAATGTATGCTTGCAGCCTTGGAATGTCCTATACAATGTCCCTACCTATACAATGTCCCTATAGGTTGGAACTGACTTGATAGCACTTAACAGAAACAGTATTTGTACATAAGGAGCCCTGGTGGTGCAGTGTTAAAGCTCTTGTCTGCTTACTTCAAGGTCACCTGTTCCCACCCACCAGCCACTCTGTGTGGGAAAAGTGAGGTAGTTTGCTTCCATAAAGATGCATAGCCTTGGAAACCTTACAGGGCTGTTCTATCCAGTCTTATGGGATTTCTTTGAGTCACAATCGAATCGATGGCAGTAAGGTTAATGTGTGTGTGCGTGTGTTTTGTTTTTCATCTCTATATAAATTAACACTGTTTCCTCTTTCTTTCCACTTGAATTTTTATATATTTCATAACTGTCAAATTCCTTTGACAAAACCACTATCTATCTGCCCCGGTGGCCTTTATTCCTAAAATGGTTTATTGGAATAGCAGAGCTTTTTCAAACACCCTCTGACTTTACAGTCGTTTTTCTAGGAAACTAAGAAATGAAGTTGAGCCATATGTTAAGAAATGATCAGTGGGAAATGGTTTGAAGCAAGATCTAGTTAAATATTTGTAAAATAGAACTGTAAGGTAATATTTTAAGAATGAGTTGGTTGCATTTTTTCCTACATATACACAAGTGCTAGTGCAATTTACAGTTTCTGAAAGACTAGCAGACTTTAGAAGTCTGCTAAACTATACCTGGTGGGTAGCTTAATGTGTCTAATAATGTATATCTACCAGAAATTCCTTATTAAACTCCATAACAAATACAAGAAAAAATTTAATCTATTATTAATTTTTAATGGCTCTGAAAGAAAATATTGTATTTACTCCCAAAACGTCTACATTGCTTATATGAACTTTTGTTAGCAGTATCTTTTTAAAATATAATTTAAATGACCTTACTCAAAGTAGAGGGGTTTCCTTAATCTGTGAGATAAAAATTAAAAACAAAAATAAAAGTGTTGGAAGATTTAATTGTTCTCCTTTCTTTAATAGAATAATCTTTGACTACTTTGTTAAATATACTTTGGTTAGTTGATTGTTGAATCAAAGGCAAGTTAATGATTATATTTTATTGTGAATTTTTATCTTCTAGACTTTAAACATCTCCCAGAACCCAAATAAATGCCAGTTTGAAACAGTCATTCATTTGTTTGAAGTTGCAATAATAGCAACTGATCTGGCTTTATATTTCAAGTAAGTATATAACTCTCTGTTTTCACTCTCTCTCTCTCTCACACACACACACATATGCATGCATTTGTTTTGTTTCACTTTTGGATGTTCAGTAGAATACTCTCAAAATGCCTAGCAGTGCATTTACTAGACATCTGGAACCAGCTTAAGCTCTTAATATTGAGTAGCTTGCTGCCTGAAGAAGTTTGAAGAATATGCCGCAAGGTCTGTAAACACCAGAGATTTCAGGAAAACTCACAGGTGGTTTTTTGTGTTAGTGACAATCTTGGCCCAGAATCTGTTGTTTAGTGTTACAGCCTCAGGAATTTGGTCCTGTCAGAGACTAGAAAATGAACAGTCTTAGTGATTATAATGCCCATGAACCAAACTCACAAAACTCTGGGTTACATACAACAGAGGTCTAGCCTATTTATCCTAATAATACATAATTACCAAGGAGACCAGAGACCCCAAGCATCTGGCCAACATTTTCCTGTAAGAGAACTACTAAGTAGTTTGAAGAATATGGATTAGAACAAGGTAAGGTAGTTATTGGTTCCAGATAATTAATGACTTGTATTGTCACTGTCAAATTATGCTTCTCTGTTGTTGCTGTCAGGTGCCATCAAGTCGGAACCGACTCATAGCGACCCCATGCACAGCAGAACGAAACAATGTCCGATCCTGGGCCAACCTCACTATCGCTGCCACACTTGAGTCCATCAATGATGCCACCTGGCTGATCCATCTCGTTGGGGGGTCTTCCTCTTTTTCTCTGACCCTCCACCTTACCCAGCATGACATCCTTCTCCAGCGACTGTTCCCTCCAGACAATATATCCAAAGTAGGAGAGACGAACACATCAAAACTGCAGTTCTGGCAGCCTCCAGAAACTTGAATCGTGTTCCTTTTCAATGTTCTTTGAGATCTGAGAACAAAAATATGTCTGAAAGGGCAAGATCGGGGCTGTAGGGTGGATGAGGTAAGGCTTCCCAACAAAATTCTCATATGACAGCCCTTGCTTGAAGAATGAGCAGTTGTCAAGATGGAAAAAACTTGGTCAGCACAATTTTCATGGCCTTTTTCTCACCAACAGAGTTATCAGTTTTCTTAAAACTTCTTCCCAGTAAGCCCCATGATCATCCTATGACCTTTGAAAGAAACTATCAAGAGTATCCCTTTGGAGTCTTCCGAAAATAGTCGCCATAAACTTCTGAGCTGACCTCTCTGCCTTGACTTTAACTGGCCCAGAAGATCCACTCAGAAGCCACAGTTTTGATTGTACCTTTTTATGAAGACATCCTAATAAGGACTAAGATGAGACTATTACTGAAAGGACTTGTCTGCAACCATCTACTGATTGCAGACCACTACGTATCTGTTCCTGTGGTCTTTTTCCCTAAAACGGTCTGTTGGAATATCAGAGATTTTTTAAAAACATTATTTGTTTGGAATAAATCTATCCACATATGAACTTGCATCTTAGTATCAAGATCTTTTGACTTGCCTTAATACAATGGATATTCAAATAACCATAATTCAGATTCAACAAATGCTAACATTTTGCCACATTTGCCTCAGATCTCTCTCTTCTTAAGGAGAAATAATAAACCATTACTGATATAATTAAAGCATTTTGCCCCAATCTACCATAAAAGGGAGCACAGTGGCTCTGTAAGATAAGCACTGGACTGTGAACTACAAAGTTGGTGGATTGAGTCCATCAGCTGCTCTGCAGGAGAGACATTATTTTTTTGTAAAGATGTTATTGTTGTTGTGTAGTGTGGTCAAGTTGGTTTCAACACATAGCGACCCTGTATAGGGTTTCTGAGGAGCAGCTGGTGAACTTGAACTGCAGACCTTGCAGTTCAAATGGCTTTGCAGTCTGGCACATTAACCCACAGTGCCACACCAGGACTCCTCGGAAACACTGTATAGTGTGCTATGAGTCAGTCCCCACTCGAGGGTACTTACCGCCACTACCACCACCATGACAGTGCCCTCCCTTTTCCCTCACAGATATTATCATTCTGATGTTGATGTATATTCATCCTTTCCAATCCTACCCATCCCATCTTCTGTTTTTAACTTGCCATAAATAGTATTCCACTGCATGTACTTTTCTACAGCTTGCTTTTTCCACTTAGCATTATATTTTAAGGATACTTTGGATGATACATAGAGATCCAGTTCCTTTAACTGTATATTCAATTGTCTGGTTAAATTCTATATTAATTACACTATAATTATCCGTTTAGTTTGTGCCCACAATGCTATCATGATATATATCCTGATACATATACAAGAGTTTTTCTGATCAGCTGCTCAGCGGGAGAAAGATGAGGTTTTCTGCTCCCATAAAGATTTATAGCCTCGGAAACCCTGTACAGCGTGGGTATGAGCCAGAACCGACTGCATGGCACATAACAACAACAACAACAACATCTAGAAATGGAATTGCTGTAGAGTTTGCATATCTTCAATTTTGTGTTACATTGCAAAGCTACACTCCTGAGTACTTGTGCCAATTTATCTCGCACCAGCACTGTATAAAAGTCCCATATCTAAAATACTTGGGATCTGGGCATATTTAAATTGCGATTTATTTTGCTACTGTAATGAATATTAGATGATTTCTTATTGTTGCTTAAATGGGTATACTTTTCATTACCAGTGATTTGAGCATCTTTTCATATATTTCGGTTCCAATCTTTTGCTGATTACGTATGTTGTGATATCTCATCATTGTGGTCTTTCATCTTTATGTCATGCTCTCTTTTGTCATATCTAACTTTTTAGTTTTAATGTACTCAAATTTACCAAAGTTTTTCTCTTAGGGTATGTACTTGTTTTTCTTAAACCTTTTCTATGTTAAGAGTAAACAGCCATTTCCTGACCTCTTAAACTCTACTAGGTGGATGTCCTAATGCAAGCATCGGAAGACCAAGTATATCAAAATGCCTTTTCTGTCTGTTTTTATATGCCAAAGTTGCTGCACAATTCTATCTTTTGTAGAAAGAGAACCATGTTTCAAAACATTGTTGATGCCTGTGTAAAAATGGAGACTGAAGAACAGGTCATCAATTATGTTAGCACTGATCCAACCAAAAAAGAGATTATCATGCGAGTAGTCAGAATTGTATTTCTCTTTTGGAAAAATAACTTCATTGTATTTATTTCTATTTTAACAATTTCCATGTTCTTAACAATTTCCATGTTCTTCCAAAGGGCAATGATGATGACAGCATGTGACTTGTCTGCTATAACCAAGCCCTGGGAGGTACAAAGCCAAGTGAGTCCAATTGTTTTATTTTCGGTCCCTTTCTCAGGTACTGTCTAACTCCCCAGTAAAAGTCCACACAGTGATACCTGGCAAGCCTCAGAATTTTATGATTGTTATCAATTACATGGCTAGATATTTTTAGAAACAATTGTCTTTCATTACACTGGACTTGTTATCTCAAACAATTGGTTTATAACTTGAGAAGTTATGACAATTAGGAATAGAATGTTCTCTGCTGGTTTTCTGTAAGTGAAGCAAGTAAATAACTCTTAAGAGTTCACAAATATCAGTAAGACAATAGCTCATTTGATCAGGCCCTAGGCCAAGACAAACAGTGGGAACCTTGGAAAGAAAATGTTTTCTGGAAGGAATTTGTTTTATCATGGAGCAGGGTGTAAAATGTTCACATGAAATTATCCAGGGGCTAGCTGAGACTGTTGAGTAGAGGAGGTCAGTCAGCACTAGGTAAAGGGGAGTAGTCAGTGCTTCCTTCTATCAAGGTTGGGTTTGCTCCTACAACCTCTTCTTCAGTGGCCTGTCAGTTATCGGAAGGCAATGTCTGTGAGGTCACATGTAATGTGGTCTTCCTTACGAATCGGGCTGCGAACCGCAAGGTCAGTAGTTCAAAACTAGCAGCTGTTCCGTGGGAGAAAGATGAGACTTTCTGCTCCCGTAAAGATTTACAGCCTCAGAAACCCTGTACAGGGTCGCTACGGGTCAGAACTGACTCCACGGCACACAACAACCACCACTGAACTTCTTCCATAATCTTGGACAATGGGAGTGCAGAAGCACTTGTTTACCACTTGTTTTCCTACTAACTGGATGAAAGAAAACTTCTCTTCTCTTACTAACTACTAGGAGAAACTCTAAACAAGAGAGAAACCAAGATCAAATGGGTTCAATGATAAAGGTGGATTGTATTGTAAAGATATCATAATTGGGACCCATCAAGTCCCGAACCAAGCACTTATTCTGCTGTGATGTGCCTGCTCTTCCTTATAGACTCTTCATCTAAGCACCCACTAAGCCATATTCGGGACTCCTGCTTGAGTCCTTCTCCCCCATTTACAGATCATTTTGCCCCTTGCTGCTGCCTCAGGTTAGAGTTTTTATATCATCCTAATGGTGGTAACCTCATCATTAACCCCCCACAGCAGACTCTGAGCTGCTACTGCTTAAAAGCCTCCTAAAAACTCTCCATTGCCAGAAGTTTTAAACCTTTTTTTTTTTAAATGAGGACCATCCCCCATCAATGCTTCTAAGGACTTCCTTATTCACTGTCCAACTTTCACATGCATATGAGGCCATTGAAAATACCAGGGCTTGAATCAGACACACCTTAGTTCTCAAACTGATATCTTTGCTCTTGAACACTTTAAAGAGGTCTTGTGCAGCAGATCTGCCATTTGATTTCTTGACTGCTGCTTCCAGGAGTGTTGATAGTGGATCCAAGCAAATTGAAGTCTTTGACAACTTCAATCTTTTCTCCATATAGCATGATGTTATTTATTCATCCCGTGGTCAGGATTTTTGTTTTCTTTACGATCTTCATCAGTAAGTATTTTAAGTCCTCTTCACTTTCAGCAAGCAAGGGTGTATTGTTTGCATCTTAATTTGGCAAACTACTGTTCATTCTCGATGATGCAGCATGAAGGCAGCTTCCCTCCCTTCTGAAGCCTGTCTGTCCTCTCTTCTCCTTGAACCACAGCGTATCATAGCGGCACTACTACAGCGCTTATCTCAGTGCTGACATGGTGGTCTTCATTCAATTGTAAGCATCTTAAAGAATGTTTTTGTCCTTACAAGAAAAAGTCATGTCTTATCCCTCTTGGCATGTCAATTAAAGGCAGCCAGCAGGTGTTCAATGAATTTTATAGGTATTTTTTTAACAATATAAATTAATCCTGAATCTCCTCGCATTGTAATCATGCTGTATACTAATGTGTGTTTAAGTAAACACACATCCACATATCTTCTAGATCCTACCACAGAAGTAGGACAAGAGGAGAACTTGAAAGCATTAGACCTTTAAGCATAACATTTAATAGAATCAGACATCCTCCTGTCTCACCTTTTCATTGCTGAGAGGTGGTGGCAATGCCCATTAAGAGATATGCATTCCCAGAATGAGTCCCAAACATTCAGGTGGGAAGGACAAGTTCCCCTTATCCATTTATAGGCACTCCCAGAATGAGTCCTGGACACTCAAGTAGGAAGAACAAGTTCCCCTTCCCATTTCAATATAATCTGTAGATGACATATTATTTTAAATTTAGGAACATATGGTACAAAAAACATCTCAAGTATTCAGTATAACTTTACATCCTTAAAGGAGTCCTGGTGTGGCACTGTGGGTTAATGTGCTGGACTTCAAAGTCAGCTTGAACCACAAGGACTCCTCAGAAACCCTATACAGAGTTGCTATGGGTCGGAACTGACTCAATGGCACCTAACAACAATAATGTCCTTAAAAATGACTTATACTCACAAAATGCAAATTCTTTATGAATAAGTGGATTTTCAGGAACCAAGCCTTTCTTATTTTCAGGTAGCCTTTCTGGTTGCAAGTGAATTTTGGGAGCAAGGAGATCTGGAGAGAACAGTGCTACAGCAACAACCTATTGTAAAGATCCTGACAAAAAATACATCATTTACCCAAAATTACCTGTGCAGATCAGCCTAGTTTTGTTTCATGAATCTTAGAAATCTGTCTTAAATGGATTTATAATTCTCATTCTAGCCTATGATGGACAGAAACAAAAAAGACGAGCTACCTAAACTTCAAGTTGGATTTATTGACTTTGTTTGTACTTTTGTATATAAGGTGAGAAAACCAAAATTATTTGCTTGACGTTTGTAATCATTTAGAGGAGAGTTTTTCTTTCAAATTGTAACAGCATAAAAAAAAAAAAGTCATGCGTGTGAAAGACATTAGGCATGTCCTTGTTTCTCCAAAGTAGCTTAAGGTTTTACCCTAATCTTCCATTGGGGAGGAGAGGAGGGATAAAAGGCGAGAGAACTCAGAGATGAGCAAATCAAACAGATTTAGTCAGGCTGGGATGATAAGTGCTGTGTTTTCCAAGCTTCAAAGCCTCCAAATTAAGCTCATCCTCACAGCCACGAGGAGTCCTGGTGCGGCACTGTGTGTTAATGCACTGGACTGCAAAGTTGGGTTGAACCCCCAAGGTCTGTGGTTCAAGCTCACCAGCTGCTCCTTGGAAACCCTACAAAGGGTCACTATGGATTGGGACCGTTCCACAGCACCAGCACGGAACAACAACAACAATAGCCGTGAGCACCAGAGGAATTCCTTACAGCTCCTCCTCTGCACATGAGAAGAACTTACCATCAATCAGTGTGTGGTTTAATTAAATTCTAACCTAAAATTCTCTCTAGGAGTTCTCACGGTTTCACAAAGAAATCACACCCATGCTGAATGGTCTTCAAAATAACAGAATGGAATGGCAATCCCTAGCTGATGAATATGAGGAAAAGAAGAAGGTAATTGAAGAGGAGGTGAAAAAGCAGGAAGAAGAAAACACAATAAAAAAAGGTTAGATGGAATCCGTCTATGCTTTTTGCAAAGTGCCAGAAGTCGGGCTGACCTTACCTTCCACATGGCAAAGGCAAGAAAAGTAAACGCAGACAGGAAATGGGCTTTTCTGTGTGCAGAAGTTGATAGGGCTTTTCTATCTGCACCCCCAGAACAAGATCTTGTAGAACTTCAGATCCTATTGGCTGCTTCATTTGAAGCAAAGATTGGGGGGGCCACTATGCTCCTTCATCCACTCCACAAAGTGGGTGCTGGGGCATCGTATAGAACACTGGGTTTGGAGGAATATCAAGAAAAGCCACAGAATCAGTGGGACTAGGGTTGAGTGAGAAACGTTTTTGTCCTAATTTTATGCATTAACTGTGAAAATTTGGGCAACTTGCTTATTAACATCTCTGCACTTAACAGTATTCTCCATATAATGTTTTACAACTTTAAAACAAGACTGTCCAACACTTTCCAGACTTAAACAGTACTTTCCAAACTGTAGCATAGTGGTTACGAATCGGGCTGCTAACCTCAGGGTCAGCAGTTCAAAACCAGCAGCTGTTTTTTGTTTGGGGGCCTATTTTGCTCATAACGACTCCATATGCAGAGTATAACTACGTCATAGGTCTTTCTTAACTGTAATCCATTGGAGAAAGATGAGGCTTCCTGCTCCCGTAAAGATTTATAGCCTCGTAAT